TCTTCTCATTCAAATCTTCTCCTCCTCCATACTCTATCTCTAAAACAAAGAACGGGATTCGTGACTGCTCTTTCTTCCTGACTCTCTGCACTGATTCAGTTTCAACGTCCTGTTGGTTCCACTTCTGAAACACCCTCCATATCCACTTCTTCATCCTTATCCTCACTGCTTCACCTTAGTTCAAGCTTTCACTTCCTGGTCCTCATCAGTTCTTGCCTGGGTCACTGTAATAGTTTGTCAGTGGTCTTCTTCCTAATGGTAGTTTTATTCCCTTACCATCTATACTATTCAATGCTAACGGAGTAGTCCACAGGCTTCTCAAAATTCATCATTTGGGTCTGTGTTGCTGTTAAGATAAGTCCAAGTGTTACCACATGGCTCATAAACTCTACATTCATGGTGTGCTTTTCTGCCCACTGCCTAATCTCTTTTCCTGTCCTGCTCTCTGGGGCATCTTATCTCCCTTTACAAAAGACACCTTACACCAATAGCAAGTTCCAGGTAAGGAAGTGGTGGAGAGCAACGACTTTGGACTCTAACTTTCTGATTTGAGTCCTGTCTTCATCACTTATTAAGAAGACTGTGACTTTGTTCAATATATTAGTTAGCCCCTCCATGCCTCAGTTTCCTCATCTATGAAAGGGGGAAAAGGACCTATTTCAAAGAGCTGTGGTTGAGCTCTTGATGTAGTGTCCATCCCAGGATAAGTGCTCAGCAAGGGCTTACGTCTATAACCTCCTGGCTTCTGTACCTGGTGTTCACTTTGCCTGCAACTCTGCATCACCTGCCTCCACCCTCCTCTGCTCAGTCAACCCCAACTTTAAGACTAAGCCAGTGTTGGTTCCCTTGGGAAGCTTCCCCTGACCTCCACCACCTTCTGGCCATAAATGCATAATCCTATCATAGTGTTTAGGCTAAACTGTTTCCTTCTTCTCACTAGATCATAAGCAACTTGAGAGCAGGAATTGTATCTTTAAGTACCCACAGGAACTTGCATATAAATATTCAATATACATTCATTGGGCGAACAGATAAGTGCAACATTCTGGATAAATTAGTGTTTCATTTTCATCTTGGAACATGAATTTTTAGACAAAAATGCCGCCCCTATTTTAAAGAACAACATAGAGAACACAGGCAGGTAATAAGAGAAAATGTTATGTCTGAAGCTACTTCCCTGGAATGATACTGTTTCACCCCAGGGCTCTGAAGGCCAAGGGGCACTTTTCTGGGGCACAACTGTTGCTTTCTGTTCCACTGTGGAGGTGTGGAGAGGAAGGGAAAGAGAAGAGGGACAGGCCCCAGCCCCTGAGAACGCTACCTTAGTGTCCAAGCGTAGGAATCTCCCTACTTCGGAGACGGTTTCATCACTTATTTTGTCCCTGGTGGCCTGAAGGGCCTTAGCGGGATATACATTAAAACCTTCTCAGCCCTTTGAGATCAGTTAATATTAAGTGTATTTTGTTGCACAAATAAATGGAGGAATGTTGCATCCAAAGGCTGTTGTGTAGTAGTAGCAGAAGCTATAATTTCCCTTTCATTATAGTCAAATGGTGGGAAGGGAGCTCCTACTGGGTGAGTCAGGCTTTGAATTAACCAAGAAAAGCCTTGTGAGAATGGAGCAAAAAGTTCAGGATAATACCCCCTCCTTACTGTCTGAAGTTTTCTCTTTGGCAAGCCTTTACAAGAGAGGTGGACCAAATACATCTGATACACAGAAGTGCAGACCCAAATACAGCCCTTTAGATGTTTCAAATATTTTTCTGCAAACATAATCTGATACATGCCACAGGCATAAAGGGCAGTAGCTCTCGAGGAGGAGTGGGCAGCAGGGATGGTGGTGTATCAATAGGAGTCCAGACTTTTCCAAAACACACACGAGCTCCCTGTTCCTCAAAACCATACAAAAAAATCTGCTAACATATTTAGTCAACTGATATCATGTGCCTTTTGTGCACAAGGCACTTGGGTGCAAACATGAACAAAACAGGCTCACACTGTCTCAGCCCTCATGGGGCTTAGTCTAGTTGGGGAAGACAGACTAATTTGAAACATAGTTGGGAAACGCTGTGATGAGGGAGCACAGGGAGCTTTGGAAGCAGCAGATTAGTCTCCTGCCTGAGGCTTGGCAGTGTCAGGACTCCTTCAGGATAGTGGTGCTGTCCACACTGAGACCTAAAAAATGAGGAGGAGTTAGCCACGGAAAGATGGGGAAAAGGGAGAAGGGGTTTGCCTGGGCGTGGTGGCTTGCTCCTATAACCTAGCACTTTGGGAGGCTGAGGTGAGCAAATCACTTGAGGTCAGGAGTTTGAAACCAGCCTGGCCAACATGATGAAACCTCGCCTTTACTAAAAATACAAAAAATTGGCTGGGCATGGTGGCTCACACCTATAATCCCAGCACTTTGGGAGGCCGAGGTGGGTGGATCACAAGATCAAGAGATCGAGACCATCCTGGTCAACAAGGTGAAACCCCGTCTCTACTAAAAACACAAAAATTAGCTGGGCATGGTGGTGCGCGCCTGTAGTCCCAGCTACTCGGGAGGCTGAGGCAGGAGAATTACCTGAACCCAGGAGATGGAGGTTGCGGTGGTGCCATTGCACTCCAGCCTGGGTAACAAGGGCAAAACTCCGTCTCAAAAAAAAAAAAGAGTTACAACAAATTAATTGGTAGCAGGATTTTGTTTGTTTGTTTGAGATGGAGTCCCACTCTGTTGCAAAGGCTGGAGTGCAGTGGCATGATCTTGGCTCACTGCAACCTCTGCCTCCTGGGAGCTGGAGTTCCAACATCTTACATTTTAAAATAATTATTTTCACAGAAAGAATCTTTGTCAGTTGTACTCACTGATTCCTCCAGACCATATCCTGTCCAGTGATCCTAAGACAATAGGTCTCTCTGGCAACTACAGTTCTCCATTCCCATTTCAATTTTCATGTCCATTGACTGAGTTATGCATACCAACTCCCACACGTGTATGTTGAAGCCCTAACTCCCAATGTGATGGTTTACGAAGCTGGGGCCTTTGAGAGGTAATTAGGATTAAATGAGGTTATGAGAGTGGGGCCCTCCTGCTGAGATGAATGCCATTATAAGAAGAGACACTAGAAAGTTTGCTCCTCTCCCTTCCCTAGGGTACACAAAGAAATGGCCACATGTAGCAAAACTACAGCAACTTACAGGCCATAGGAAGAGAACTTGGAATGAAATCACTTTGCTTGTACCTTTCGTTATCTTGGACTTCCCAGCCTCCAGAAGTGTGAGAAATAAATTTCTATAGTTTAAGCCACTTGGTCTATGGTATTTTGTTACGGGAACCTGAACAGACTAATACAACAATCCAGTCCTAGCGGCAATACGGCTTCTCCGCCGATCCCAGATTCTGAGTGCCTCTCAGTCCTTTGTTGGGTGATTTTGATGCTGTCCGTATATCTATAAATATTCCCTTCATAAAACTCTCTTTAAATCACACATCTGAGTGTGCCTCTTGGTTCCCGTCAGAGCCAAGACCGATTTGAGATGATTCTTAAGGTCAGGTTGATGTCTTAATCCAGCTGTGCTGCTATAACAAAATACCACGGAGTAACTTACAAACAATAAACATTTATTGCTCACAGTTATGGAAGATGGGCAGTCCAAGATTAAATTGCTAGCAGGTTCAGTATCTGGTGAAGGCCCATTCCTCTGTCACGCAGGCTGGAGTGCAGTGTTTGCAAGCTTGGCTCACTGCAACCTCCACCTCCCAGGCTCAAGTGATCCTCCTACCTCAGCCTCCTGAGTAGCTGGGACCACAGGTGCACAGCACCATGCCTGGCTAATTTTTTTTTTTTTTTTTTTTTGGATATGGAGTTTCACCATGTTTCCCAGGATGGTCTCGAACTCCTGGACTCAGGCAATCTGCCAGCCTCCCAAGGAGTGCTGGGATTACACACATGAGCCACTGTGCCCACCTCCCAAAATTCTACTGATATGTATGCATAATTAAATAAATACAAGCCATTATTTTCTGATGCTTTGATTGGCAATTGGTTGAAAGAGTTTATCTGAAGTCCTGAAATCCATAGAAGGGAGTCTCTGTGTTAAGGGGTTGTGGAGACCAAGGTTATCATGCAGATGAAGCCTCCAGTAGCAGGCTTCAGAGAAAATAGATTGTAAATGTTTCTTATCAGACATAAAAGGTGCCTGAATTAGGGAAAAGACCTGGAAAGGGATTTCCTATAGCCTGTAGATTTTCCCCACAGGAGACAGCTTTGTAGGAGCATTCCAAAATAAGACAAAAATATATATTTTGGGGTACAGTATTTTTCTTTCTTTCAGGGCCTGCTATCTGTAATGTAATGCTATACTAGAATCATTTGGTGACTCATTAGTACAAAAAGTCTTAAGATCTCCGTTTTAATACAGTTGCACCTGGTCAGATGTGCTGGTCAGTTGTGCCTGAATTCCAAAGGGAGGAGGGTATAATGAGGCATATCTGATGCCCACTTCCCATCACAGCCTGGACTCGTTTTTCAGGTTAACTTTGGAATGACCTTGGCTGAGAAGAAGGGTGCATTCAAATAGTTGAACAGCTTAGAATTTTATTTGTGGTTTACACTATAGAAAGCATTTCTCCAATATTGCCTGTCTCCCTGTCAGGGTCAAGCATTTAGTATTTAGTTGCTACACTCTCACCTAGTCCCTCATTTTCGATATTTTGTCATGTTTTCCAGTGACCTAACTGGCCACCATGTCACAGACTTCATGGTTTCCCGAGAACACTCCATGTCATGTGTTGTGATTTGAGCAACAGAATGGAATCTACTTGTAAATGTTCACATGGTCTTTGACTCGGGTTCTCATTTTGCTCTACTTCAGTGTTTTCTGGGTTACATACAAGGAAGATGATCCAGTCATTTGTTAAGGGCCTCAAATAAGACATACTGCAGATTTTTTTTTTTTTTTTGGTCAAATTGGGATTATTTCGTGTCTTTAAAGAATATGAAATAGTAACACGAGGCACGCAGTGAGGTTTGGAGATGGCCGTGAAGAGACGAAAGTCCATGCCTGAGACTGTCCAGTCATCTCTGCGGGGGCCACATATTTTTGCAGGATATTGTATTTGAAAAAAAAAAAAAAAAAAACCTTCAAGATTCATGAAATTAGACAACTGTCTTTGTAACACTTACAGTGGTAAAAGCCGTCAGGGAGGCTGGTTTGCAGTCATCTGAGCAGCCTCTCCGGTTTCATAGATACAGTTTCTCTCTGACACTGAACGCCTTTCAACATCACAGAGATAACCAGGTTTGAAAGGTACCGGTTTTCTTTGTAATCCTAAAGGTTCTAGTCTGCCCATTAAAAGACATTATCTGCAGATGCGTGCACAAGCCTCCAGCTGGCCGCCAGAAAGGTCCTCCGCAGGACACAGGTCAAGTACCCTCCTCTTTGGTGGAGACCAGATTCGGGGTCTCGGCGCACCGCCCCAAAGGACAGGGGCTGCATGGAAAAAAGGGAGAGGCCGTCACTTACCCGGGTTGGTCGGCTGAGTGGCAGAAGAGCAGACGGGGACTGGGAAGGCGCCTTCGGTGACATCACGGAGAGGGCGACTTCTATGTAGATGAGGCAGCGCAGGGGCTGCTGCTTGGCCACCTGCTGCTTCCCGACGAAGCTGTGGGAGCGAGTCCAGGACCACTGGTCAGACCCGAGATCCCAGCTGTGTGTCCGGGCTAGGAGGGCTGGGGGTGCGGTGCCCGCGGCAAGTGACCGTGCGGGTAAAGGGTGAGGCGTATGAGGCTGTGTCGGGTGGAGGCAAAGGAACTAATACTTATCTTTCAGGGGCGATACGGTGATCACAAAAGTGGTTTTCCCAGGGCAAGGCTTATCCGTTGCATTCCGGATGTGCTGATTTCTGCTGTTTCCCAAATGTGGAAAACTCGGCTGCATAATTTGTGATAGTAGCGGACTGCGTTCGTGCTTTCCCCTGGCTTTTTGTGGTGTAAATGATACGCAAAGCCGCTGCTTCGCCATAATCGCTTGCTTTTGGGCGCTTAACTTGTTTTTGGGACAGGTGTTAATCACTTGTTCTTCAGAAGGCTAAGTGCTTGTTAGTCGGAGCGCAGGCGTCTAGCAGGGGGCTATTTTGTACATCAGCGGTCCTCCACACAGGGCTTTTAACTATTTTTTTGTTTGCTTTTTGATACTAAGTTTCGCCCTTGTTACGCAGGCTGGAGTGCGAAGGCGTCATCTCGGCTCACCGCAATCTCCGCCCCCTGGGTTCAAGCACTTGATCAGGAATAATGTCATCAGTGAATGGAAAAACAAATGGACATTATTATTTAACCCATAATGAGACAAGCTGGTAACATAACTGAGGTCAACCGCTGCTCATATTTAAACAGCTTAATCTTAAATCCAGAAGGTCAATATATTCAGCTATTTCCTGGGACTTTGGCAAATGATTTATCTGGTGACAGGAGGCCTGTTTTCAGATCGCATCCTCTCCCTGTCCCTAATCCAGTTTCTTGGGCCCTCTCTTGATGCCCGCTTGAGGTTCCTGCCCGTGCATAATATGTGCTCAATAAATATTTGTTGAATGAATGAATAAATAAAAAAAATTATCCAGCCCTGACTTAATGTTTAACCACCTGCATTTGGGGGTTGACATTCTATCACCAAGGGCTTCCCTATCTTAGCTCTCTCTTCAAATTAATTACTTCCTCTCCATGAGAGAAGCTCTGCTTCTGCCCGCTCGCCCCCTCACTCAGCTTCCCTCCCTAGATCCCCACTGAATATGTAGCTTGGCTTTAATCCACCTTCAGTAGGAGGAGAAGAAAATTAAGCTCATCTGCACGGAAGGAGGAGGGGGTAGGGGTGCTTTGGGAAAATGAGCTTTCTTCCTCTAGAAGGCAAAAATATCCGCTTTCTCTTCAAGCTGAGCTCAGGGGCCTCCCACAGCCTTTGCTTAAGCTGCAAGTTAAATTACTTCTATGCCCTGTAAAGATAGCATGAGGGAGTAGGAACAAAGGAAGGCTCAGGGGCTTCCCCTGCTCATCCGGAGCTCTGAAATCCTCGGAATTAAGTCTGCACACAGAATGTCTAGCTGGGGGCTCTTTCCCTTTGCCAGTAAACTGCACGGTATGGCAGATTTTCATTTCAGTTACACACCAAGAAGAACTTACAAGAGGCAGAACGTTAAAAAGGGAAACAAGCATAGGTAATCCGTGTTCTCCTTCCTCTCTTACTCCTTTTGGGATGTCAAAAGGCTTCCATTTGTCAAATACACATGATTATGAATCCAAGAATACATATCCAAAAGGATCTCTCAAATCCCGCCCAAGAGAAGGGAAAATCTCAGGCGGTACAGGGGATTGTGTGGGGGAGGCGGAAGCAGCCCTAAACTCCAGGGCAGTCCAGTAAGTGGTCACTTAACCACTATGAGGCTGGCCCCGAAGGCAGTGCCATCAATGGAAACAAGCATGGCAGGGCCAGACATGCAGTCTGAGATCCAACCTGAGTTAGCAATGTGACGTCATGTCATGGACTCTTCGTTTTCTCGTGTGTAAATGAGGTACCTTCTACCTATATGAAATAACAGTGTTTGCTTCACCAGCACATATATTAACTCTATGAAATAATAGCTATAAACTTTCAAAAATGTAGACCATCTTATGCACAAGAGATCATGGCTATGATCATTCTACTTAAAAACAAATTAAGAAATATGCCAGATGCAGGAGCAAAAACATGAAAAACACACAGTCCCGGGCTTAAGAAGACTGTGTATGGGGCAGGGGCTGGGAGTGCCAGGGGCAGGCACTCTGGAAGTCCCGAGACCAATCCATTAAAAAGAAAAGAAGCAGATCCTCTCCGTTTTCCAGGCCTTCGTCTCTGCACCTACTTAGAGATTTCCTGTGGTTCAAGAGACATCCTCAGCCCTGCAGCACCTCATAGCGACAACTCCACACCGCTTCATCTCCAAGCGTCCCCTAAAGAGTCACATCCACGTGCAGTATACCTGGCACTACACTGTCAAGACTGACAAAATTAACCCAAGTTTCACACTCTTCTGCAGGCATGCATGTTCACGCACGTGCACATGTGCACTCACACCCCCAGACTGAATGCCCGGGACTCCCACTGTGATCAATATTGAACGACTAGAGAAATACTCCATTCCTTCCACCCACTGAGCCTCTTTTGATGATCTGCTCTGTACACCAAGCTGCTTCATTTCCATAGCTCCTGAGAATCTGCTGACAAGAAATTAGCCCAGCTTGGCTTCCCCAACCTGAGGGCGTCTTGGCTTCCAGAATTACAGCTCATTAGATGGAGAGAGGTTTGCCTGCAAAGCAAGTGGAAAGGGGTTCCATCCCTCCCACTTCCTTCTTTCTCCAGATAGCAAATTCCAAGCTGAAACCGTCCACGCTCTAGGGAGGATTTCTGCTGCCACAGAGGAGGGGAGGGGAGGGAGAGGGTTGGCTCCTGCTCTGCACCTCCCTCTCTGGATCTCATCATTGTTTTCAAGGAGGCTTATCTGCTCCAGCATCCCGTCCCAATTAAAAACCAACTCAGTTTATGTTTCCAGCCATCCTCATGCATCTGATTCCTGAAGCTCCCTCTTCCACTTCCAGGAGAAAATACACTTTCCCAGCCAACTTCTCATCAAAGGCCCTCTGTTTTCCTACCTATTGCTGCCACAGAAAGAAGAGTCAAAGAGAGTCAGGCCCTGGCAGCACCTCTAGGTGTTTGCAGGTGGGAAGGAGCCCCTCCAAACAACACTGCCTTAGCCCAGCGTGGTGGCACATAGCTGTAGTCCCAGCTACTCAGAGGCAGAGGCAGGAGGAGCACTTGAGCCCAGGAGATCAAGACTGCAGTGAACTATGATCGCACCACTGCACCCCAACCTGAGGTGCAAGACCCCCGTCTCTAAAAAACAACAGAGTGAGACCCCCAGTCTCTAAAATCATCAACACCCACTGTCTCTCCTCCATGTGCTCCTTGGAGGTCAAAACACCGGTTCTCCAGGTGCCAGGGAGCAGCTGCCAGTGGCTGCCGCCCAGCCTTGCACTGGCTCTCTCCTTTCTTCTCTGCCCTTGCTGATTCCCCACTTGGATGCCACAGATATTTCCAAAGGGGAAAGAAGACGGCACCTCCCTACCCCAAGCAAATTTGTTGGAATATCCTAAGCTACTGGGCTGCATGTCTAGGAGACAAGCCCCATGCTGCTCCCTTTCCTGCTTAACTCTGCCCATCCTCATCACAAACCCAGCCCCATCCCAAAACCTGACTAGTTATGGAAGGCTGCGGGGGCTCTACCTGAGCTCATCTCCCACGACGAATGGAAGATAAAGAGAGGGCTTCGTGGACAAGGGAGGGAAATCACAAATCTGGGGGCCATGGCCAGGTTTCTTCCTCCCTTCCAGCCCAGGCACTGTTCCTTCCCCCATTCTCTCACTGTAGTGTCTCCCAGCCCCTGCTCTGGGCCTGGGTGGTCCCTAATTCCTATGAGAGGAGGTAGGAAGCCCTAAATTGGCAGGCTGAGGGCAGGAGGGCATGGGGTACTTCAGTCAGGGTAATGGGTTCAAGCTCGTGTGTGCGCACATGTGTGTGCAGGAGAGAAAACATAGAGATCATGCAGGAACTTCATTCTGATCTCCAACCCTAGCTTGGTTCCTCTTTAAACTGGTTGTCTTACTTTATGGAATCCCATTTGTCTTCTGAAAAATTAAGACAACCAGAGTAGAGAGCATAACCATGCTAGTGATTCAAACACTGAAGCCCTTCCATGTTGGTGGGGGAGGAGCTGCTCCTCCAAGTCCCCCAAGTGTCCCTGTCCCACCTCTGGGCCAGGGCCTGAGACCTCCTCACATCTCCATGATCCAGAGAGTAAAGAGTTAATGCCTGGCCCCGCAGAGTCCTCCAAAACTCCAGGCCAGCGTCCTTTCTGGCTGATGAATTATTGAATATCAATGCTGGGTACAGCCAGGCCTTAATTGCCTCAACACTGAAGTGTTTTCCAATTGTGGAGAACTGTGATTCTACCATTCTACCCATGGGCAGGCTGGGAGGCACTTTCTCCTTCACGCTGACCCAACTTGGAGAACTGGGGTGATCCAACTCCCTGGAGCTCCTCAGCCTTTTTGCGCTGTGTGCTCTTGTTTTGTCCCTTCTAAAGAGGGGGGGAATTCAAAGGAGAAGCAGCTGCCTACAGCTCTGGGTTTTCCTCCTCTCAGACTTCCCTCAGTAGCTAAGCCAGACAGAAGCAGAGAAAAAAGGCTCCAGCCCCCTCGCCTCCAAGTTGCCTTCTCCTGACAAACGAATCCCAAGGGGTAACAGGGCCGGGCAATAATTAATTACACTCCCCCCTTCCAGCTCTGAGTTGAATCTCAAACCGCTGCCCTTCAGAGGCTGAGGCAGCCCAGCTGTCCACTGCCAGGTCTGCGGAAGGTCACCAGAACCATGTCTCTGCATCCCAAATCAGTAGATCTGCTTCTGGTGTCCTACGGAGAGCAGCAACCCCACCCTGCCCCACCCCACAAAAGGAATTTCACTTAGTGGGTCTTTGGAGAGTTGTGAGGCTGACTGATCCCTCTCCTTCCCCATCCTCAAAAGCCACCAGTGCCTTCTTGGTTCCCAATCCAGCAATTTGAGAATCAAGCTGTCTGGTGCCTTAGTTTTCTCATCTTGACAGTAAAACAATGGTATTGAATGATGCCTTGTTCAGTAAACTACAAAAACTTCCCACTGGACCAGACAGCAGAGGAAGAAACGTCATGATGCTCTGAAGGCATGTGGGGCAAAGGGAAAAAGTAAGCTCATGCCGTCTCTGTTCCTTATGCTGGGAGGGAGGCAAGGAAGGCCCACTTCAGAGTCAGGGAGGCTGAGGTACATTGTCCCAGCTATAGTGACAGGAGAGATCAGACAAAGTTGGAGTCTCCTTGGGCTTCCTTCTTTCTGTCCCTGCTATGCACCCAGTCTGAGTTCCTCATCTCCAGGAAAGCAGGAGAGAGCTTCCTGGTTCAGCAGGAGATGCCAGCTTTTCAAGGTCTGCTCCAACAGCACAGTAATGAAAGCCGCAAAGCCTTTCACTGATCATGTCTGCAGGTCACAGATCTGCGGACTGTGTGTGACGTGGGCTGGGGGCTACCCACAAACATTACTCTGACAACAGCTGCCTGGATGCAGGGGCATGGAAGGGCAGCCACACACGCTGTCCACAGCCTGGCCTTTATTGCTGTGCCCTGCCCAGCACCTCAAACACAGGGGAACTGAATAACTTTGAGTTTGATGGAGTAGTTGTGGAGCAGGCCAGCCAGCTCACCAGAGCCTGGAGGAGGGGCGGGTGCTGTTCTGGTTGGGAGGCTGAATAGCGGCTGAAGGAGCAGGAGCTCAGCCTCAAATCTCTTTCGGGGATCAGTGTGCATGTTGCACCTGCTTCATGCTCCCTTCTGTCCCTCTCCTCCCTACTGGCCAGCCAGACTATGATAAGAGTCTACAAAGCAGCAGCTTGGCCCGGGGAAGTGGAGTAAACGGCTAGAGCAGTAAACGGGCTAGAGCTGGGGAGCAGGAGCCTCCCGCCTGGGGGGCAGCTTGGCGAGCATTGGGGGCAACAGCAGGCTCTAGTTTAGT